TGGGTGGGGGGGGAGTGCCAGACAAGGTCTCAATTGGGTGGGAGAGGAGTGCCAGACAAGGTCCCAATTGGGTGGGGAGGAGTGCCAGACAAGGTCCCAATTGGGTGGGAGAGGAGTGCCAGGCAAGGTCCCAATTGGGTGGGAGAGGAGTGCTAGACAAAGTCCCAATTGTCCCCTGCCCCAGTCTGCCTTTGTAACTGTATTTTTTGTTTCAGATCATATTGTGTCACTGCTGAATCAAGAAACCATCGGTGCTTGGCAGTGAGTGGGTTATGATTGGTACAGAGGCCTTAATTCTGTAAGGAAAGAAACAAGAGAGATGGCTTACTCTATCAGGGCAGTGATGCCAGAAGATGACCCCACAGGCAGGGGACCAACCACGCTGCTGTCCCCTTTAACACCTGGTGGAAATAAAAGAGAAGATGGCATTATTATCCCTCTATTTTGGGGGACTAAGTTTTGAACATGCCCCCAAAAGAGTTTTTAAGGCAATGTCCCAACGTATGGCTGAGGTAAGCCTGAATGAAGCGGCTTCAGCCATCTGTCATAGACTTATGTACTTCTGTCAGCCTAAGCCAGATGATTTGAACAAGGTCAGTTGCCAAATGTACAAACAAAAGAATATACCCAGGGACTGCTTCCTGTTTGAAGTAAGTGAGGATTTCTTGAAGCCCATCTGAACTTCAATCCTAAAAGAGCCAGGGAATCCACCCCCCCTTAACATTTTTTCTGGTATCACAGCAGTGCAGATTTTCCACAAGCCTTTAGGTGTTTTTTGTAGTAACTCCCCATGGTCCAGTCTGACATAATTTTATGAAAAGCAAACACAACTCTCTCAAGCAGTGTCCATTTCTCCAAGAGAGATCAACCCAAACTGCTGACATGCTCAATGTATGCAGGCTGGCACGTGTGCGGCCTTCAACTTCCGAATGACTGTCAAAAATAGATGGTTGAAATGAAATTTCAAACTTGTATTGGAAAAGAAAATTTGTTTATTCACATCAAGTTTTTAAAATCTGGCATTGGACAGCCCACTTCTTGTGAAATTCCCCCCCTTCTTGCTGTGAGCTGGTAAAAGTAATGCAGCTCTTTTAGGGTTAAATTCAGAAGTGCCACGGCCAAATGCACCAGCATAAATTGATTTCTAAACAGATGGCAAACATGACTGCAATGTGACAGCTTTTCTACCTGCTGTTTTCTTCATTCACTGTTCTTGTTCCTCATCACTGTCAGGGTTGCTGTCACTGGAGTCCTCACTGGAACTTGAGTTTCTCCTGCGCTTACTTCTTTAGAACAAAATGGGGATAAAAATCACGTTATCCCTGACTCTGTGAGTTAATTTCAAATTCAGTTGCGAAAAAATAGACAGGTGACTTCACTACAAAATACCCCAAAACTGAAACAAGGAATAAATTTCTTTCACTTTTTCTTTTCTGTTTTTGTTTCCTTGGAATATTTGGACTTCTTCCTGCTTCTCTCCTCTGATAACAAAGAAATTACCCACAGATACAAAAAGGTTCAACATCTTTTCTGAGTAGACACTTCCATTACATGTATATTGTCAAATTTTGAAACTGGAACACACAATACTAAGTTTTTGTATCCAATTGTTACTTTTTTCTGTCATCCAGAACCTTTTCACACATAGTCTCTGGCCAAGGTACACGTACCTAATTTCACTGTCTGTGCTACGGCTAACGTCAGAGTCATCTTCATCATTCTCTATGTGGCTGAACTCATCCAAGCTACTGGAGTCAAGACAAAACAATTACAAAAGATCATTCAAGTAGCAAGACAAAAGGACAGCATAGAAAGACTGTGGTTCCTGGGAATCTTCCCAAATCCTAAAACATCCTCCCTAGTATGGTACATTCTCCAAAATTCTACAAAGGCATCAAGTCCTTCATGAAATCAAAGTGGCTGGGCTGGGCTCTACCTTCCTCAATCCTGCTATATTTTCCACAAACCTCCTGGTGGATTTTTAAAAAAACTGGGAAGGATGGCATTAAGATTTAACAAAAAAGGAAAAGATAAGTAAA